GTGGGAGAACTTGCACAATTGGTGGCTGACTAAATACTTTTTTGCCCCACTGTAAAGTGGCTCAGAGCTGTTTTGTCTCACGTCTGGCCATGACAGGGCAGCTCTCTGAAAACCTAACAGAGTGGGACCAAACATGGCGTGGGGAAAGGAGCAGGCAAAAGAAAGATCAAGTTCAAAAATGGAGTGGATCTGATCAAGGGTTGCAGAGAAGAAAATTCCAGAAGGGGGAAAAAAAAAAGATTTTTGTCCTGCTTTTTTTTCATATACAACTCAAGACAGCAAACATACCAATACTCCTTCTCCTATTTTCCCCCAAATCAACAACCCCATGAGGTGTGTTGTAGAGTGACTGGCCCAAAGTCACTCAGCTGGTTTTTCATGCCTAAGGCAGGACTAGAACTCACTCTCCTGGTTTCTAGGCCAACACCTTAACCACTACACCAGACTGCCTCATGCATCCCTAGGGAAAGTGGCCTGGCATGTTGCTGAAAGTTCCCTTCTTCCCAGTTGCTTGTGTGATGCAGAGTGAGCGTATGCAGCCAGCCAAGTGCTTCCCAGTGCACATGCATGCACAAAAACACATGATACACAAGGGGAAGACAAACACGCAGATGCGTAACTTCCTCTAGATCTGTGCACACAGGCAACAGGTATGCACATGCTTGCATTAGTTGGAGAGAAAATACAGGCAGATGGATGCAACACAGCAAGAACGTACAAAGTGGGCGTGCTCTGAGTCCCAGGAAGCGTGCCCTCATTGTCACAGCACCTGTCTTGTGCAATAGCTTCCCTCCGAGATATGGGCAGCCCAATCCTGTTAGCCTTCCAGGAGGCTGTGAGGAGCTGGCTGTTCTCCCAGGCACCAGGGCCAGGATATTAGAGGAGCTGTGGCATGTGCACGTGTGCCTCTGAGTCAGCATTGACTACTGGCGACTGCATGGACAAGTCCCTGCAGTTTTCTCGGCAGGGTTTTTCAGAAGTGGTCTGCCATTGTCTCCTTCCTCCTAGGTCTGAGAGTGTGTGCCTGGCCCAAGGTCACCCAGCTGGCTTCATGTCTAAGGCAGGACTAGAATTCATGGTCACCGGTTTCTAGCCTGGCGTCTTAAACACTACACAAAACTGGTTCTCATTTCATATGTTTACAAAGAGATTTTTAGGGGCCTTGATCCAGTTTGTTTTTGTTTGCTACCCAGTATTCCCTGGGCAGATGGTTTAAAGTCACATATCAGACATATACTGTAAGTCACTCTCAAATAAGTTACATAAGTTATGCCAAGGAATTATTTACATAAATAAATACCTTATAGACTTTGCAAGGCTGTCCTTTTGTAATAATTTGAGCCAAAGTCTATTTTTCTGAATATTAATTTGAATTATATTTGTACTTAGGAAAATGAAGAAAATAAGGTATGTAAAAATCTGTAATAAAATTGTTTAAATATAAAAATCTACTAATAAAGAGTGTCATAAACATTCCTGCTTGGGGAAGTTTGTATGTATTTCTCTCCTGAAAATATGCTAAATGTGCAACCCGCAATTAGAGTTTATATTTATTATGGTATCAATTTTAGTACAGTACAGGGAAGTATCTGAAAATTATGACGCAACTATACAGTTTGAACTCTCTTTGAGTTCTATGGTTTTACGTATCAGGGCATAATAAAAATCATCTGGTCCTTAGCAGTTCTCAGATGAACAACAACACATGACATACCAGGTCATCATTTATTTTACAAAAATAAAGCCAAAATGGAGAAGCCATGTGTGAAAAAC